AGAACTCGACGCACAACATTATAGAGCACAATCGTGGCATTGCACATCGCAGTTCAGCACGGCGCAGCACAGCACAGCCCTCGGCACGGTAAATCAAGATCGATACACTCAGTATTGCAAGCTGGAACGCTCCTTGGCACGTTCAGTGGCGCGTCCCGTGGCGAGTCCCCCTGGCACGTCGCGCGGCGCGTCCCCTGGCACGTCCCGTGAAACGTCCATTGGCACGTCCATTAGCACGTTCCATATCGCGTCCCCTTGGCACGTCCCGCGGTGCGTCCCCATGGCACGTCCCCCGGCACGTCGCTTGGCGCGTCCCTTGGAACGTTCCGCGGCGCATCCTCCTGGCATGTCCCCGTGTCAAATAGCTCTGGGGCAGTTCGGTCAGGACTCGGATGAAAAGGAGGACTCGATCCACAACGGTATAGAGCATCATCGCGGCATGGCACATCGCAATTCAGCACGGCGCAGCGCAGCACAGCCCTCGGCACGGTACATCAAGATCGATACACTCAGCATTTCAATTTGTCACGTTCCCTTGCACGTTCCGTGGCGCGTCCCGTGGCGAGTCCTCCTGGCACTTCGCGCGGCGCGTCCCTTAGAACGGCCCGTGGCACGTGCATCGGCACGTTCCGTAGCGCGTCCCCTTAACACGTCCCGCGGTGCGCCCCCATGACACGTCCTTTGGCACGTCGCTTGATGTGTCCTTTGGAACGTTCTGCGGCGCCTCTTCCTGGCATGCCCCCTTTTCAATTAGCTCTGGGGCAGCTACTGTGTGCTGAGGCAGCTCGAGCTTAAGATCCATATCAGTTCGGTCAGGACTCGGATGCAAAGGAGAACTCGACGCACAACATTATAGAGCACAATCGTGGCATTGCACATCGCAGTTCAGCACGGCGCAGCACAGCACAGCCCTCGGCACGGTACATCCAAATCGATACATTCAGCAATGCAATTTGGCACGTTCCGTGGCGCGTCCCGTGGCGAGTCCTCCTGGCACGTCGCGCGGCGCGTCCCCTGGCTCCTGCCTCAAGAAGATACATTCGCCGTTTGGGCGGCTACGTTCACATCGCGAACCGATTTCGCCAACATCAGGCGGAAGTGCACGTCCGCAGGGACAGCGCGGATCCGAAAGTAGGAGGAGGAAGAGGAGGACGAGGAGGAACGACAGAAAGAGGATGAAGAGGAGAGGGACGCCGACGACAACGATAAGGAGAAACCCAGATCCCCATGGCTGAGGAGGGCGGGCAGCAGTGCGATCGCGAGGAGTAGCCGGGAAGACGAACCACAGTAAAGGGGTGTGCTTGTGGTGCCCGCGAAGTTGGTCTAGGCGGTATCTTAACGTTGCGTATTTGCTCATGGGTGGGGCGGTCTCGGGTGCCAAGCATACAAATTGCAACAAGAACCAGAGGGTCACGCGTTGTGCGCTTTTCCTTTTGCATGCTACGCAATGCGTATGAAGTCGCGCGTCGGAGAACCCGCGGGTTGCCACTCGTGGGGGCCAGCGTTTCAATAATAACAACAATCAGTAACACTCGTGCGACGGCGCGAACAACCATATCGCAACACTAAACAACACCCACCCGGTTAGAGGGTAAATGCACCCACGCATACACACTCAGCGCCATACAGCCAACATAAACCAACACGCCGCCAACACACGACACGTCGCGCCAACATCATCCGCATTCTAGGAACGTGTTCGTGGTATTGTAGAAGCGGGTGTGGGCAGATTTTCCGGGGGGATGGTTTTCACGATTCTGGCGCGAGTTGCCATTTCGTTTTGATGCAGGACCGCCAGGTTAACTGGAACAGCTATCACAAGTGCCGCTTGCGGTGGGGTCCCATATGAGTTGTTCAATGTATTGCTTCTTTGGCTGATGTTTGAACCGATCCAGGTTCTCATGGTTCGCCAGTGGTTTGCTTCGTCGTGCCAGGTGTGATTTCGCGCTGTATTTCCGAAGCCAACCTGGGTACCAGCATGGGTCTCTCAAATTTCGCCACGCCCTCCAAGACAGATCAGACGACTAACAGGAAGCGCAAATCAGCAGCTTGCAGTCCGTCAGCACAGAGTCCTAGCCACGCTGCTGTGACCTGGACCATGGCAGTCAAAGAGAAGGCGAAGTTTGACGAGCAGTGCGCTCAGGATTCCTCCACTTCGAAGCTCCCCCAGGTAATCGCCGCCGCGTGCATGGAGCTACCGACGTCGCCGTCAAAGTCGTTGCCAGCGCTTCGCGCGGTTCAGGGCGATGATGTGATTCGGGGGCCTATTCCCAAGATGTCCGAGGCGAGCAAGGCCGCGGAGGACGACGTCGACGAGGTTTGGGCCGACATGGAGAGATCAGCCAGTTGCCGAAATATTGGGCGTGGGAAGTGATCCATGCGAAAGACTCATCTAGTTCATTAGTGCCGCGGTCAAGGCCATCGACAAGAAACACAGGGATAACTGCAGGAGGCTCCTCGAGTGTCTCACAGGGTTGGGGCCTACATACAAGATCTTCGA